GCAAAGCTTGTTCGCTAGCACGGTTTGTACATTTATATAAGTACCGACCCCAAACCGTCGCTAGCGTCCCGGTGTCGTTAACAAACCTTCATTATTGTCCCATATTTAACTGCAGACCGGATGTACGACACGGCGCGCCTCTGACTCCTCCCACACAGGCCACAAACACCAACACTACACAGCTAGCATACTTGCACACTAGCTTAGCATTAGGCAGACACCGCACCCGTAGGATAAGAGTGCGAAGACCCGGTCTACACACGACACAATATACCAGGTACTGGTTCGTACGGCATATATATCATATGAAAAACCTACCTAACTAACGTATTTAGCGGGGATCCTAAGGTCGCTTGTCAACACACGACACGCTATACCAGGTACAGGTACGTACCTGGGCGTTTTTCCCCGCCCCCCACGACAACGGCTAACTAGAGCCGAGGTTCGAGTCTCAGAGACGCCTTCTAGTTGAGCCGACCCCCTCAGGTTCGATTGGTCTAGAGGCTCCAGACGGAGAGGAGACTCCCCCCGTGGGGAGATGCCATCCGCCTGAAATACCTCTAGAGGCACGCACATCTCGCCGTCCCTAAACCCTGTGAACCCGTAAAGGTCATCTGCGACCAACAACCGTGCCTACACCCGAGTAAAAGTAGTCTCGTTAACAAGCGCAGAGGTGCAAGGGTGATGGTCATTAGGCTGGTCCCGTGAGGGTAAGTGCCATGCGATGCGCAATGTTTCTTTGACAGATCAGCTATTTTCGCGACTGTTTTATATTTTATTAGCTGTGCCCCGCGGTGTTACCCGCGTTTTATTAGGGATATTTTCCCGCAGTTAAACGTAGCCTATGTGTTAATCCAGCCTGTCAGCTAACTCCATACCAAATTTTAATAAAATCGCTCCAGCCGTTTAGACGTGAAGAAGTAACAAACATACACACTCACACACTCACAAACTTTCGCCTTTATAATACTAGTGTGATTTAGGGATCAGGTAGGTGTGGTGGTATAATGCGTCTTTATGCTATAAAAGTGTTATGCATAATTTGCCTCTGATTCATTTTTAATTAAAGATTAAAGCTTGGAAAAGTTACGCGGTGTTTTGTTCGGCTTCACTCATATTACATTTTAAATGTGATAAACAGAACGCTATTTAAAATTTTCCAGTGTGTTTATGATTATGGATGTGCCGTAGTGAGTTTATTATTGCACTATTGTTAATAAATATTTACAACTAGATTTTTATTTTCTGTATAATAGTTAAAAAAAAACTTTGTTTTTATCCCACCGTTTTGAAAAACAATACCGTTGTATTTTTTTTAATTTGTTCTGTTTTTTCAAGAAAACCATTTACCCATTCGTCAGGTGCTGCCAATTGTTCTAAGCTTGGTTGGTAATTTTCAATAAAAAATGTGTAGAAGGTTATAAAAATAAACAGAGAACTTTAATATAAACTCATAAGCATTAATCTTTAACGGAAACTAACTTAATGATTTTGGATTCTGTACCCGTTAAAAAATACATGCCCCAGAAAAAAAAAACGTTTTTTTTTCATGTTTTTTTCACTATACCAGGCTACTTAGAAAGTTTTGCGAAAAAAGTTTTTATGTTTTAGACACTGGCTACTTGTAATTATTTTGAAAACTTCGATTATTTAAATGTAAAAATACTGTTCGATTTTCAAATTTCCCTCCGCACTTTTTCGAGAGCCAGTTAAATTTTTCTAGTCTCATTAAAAAATGGATCTGCATCGAGAACATTTTCGTGCTGTCTGGTCCGCGTGGATATTTTTCTAGTAATATTTTCTTTAGATTTAACATCAAGCACTATATTACAGTTCACATTATATATTAACATTTCACATTATATATAATAATGGCAATTGGCAAATGTACCTACTTATAGTATTAAAATGTGCTGCAGGCCACGTATTCATCTGTGGACTTGACTCAAGTCACGTTACATTATACAATATTTTCTTATCTCGTTGTGTATGTATATTTGTTGCCAACTACTACTAAATTAATTAAGCAAGAAAGTCATATTTAAATCGGTAATAATTAATTTACTGGATCGGTATTAAGTAGGCGTGGTGATGATATCCGTTGTTAAAGAATAAGAATAATCAAACGGACGAAATAAACGAACGGACATACAAAAAGAGACTTGATCAGCTATTACACTGCAGTGATGAATTACAACGCAGATAATACATAATTATCATAATCTACTGTTTTCTATACTTGTATCAATACTTTAGACCACACCTAGATTTATTTTATGATTGCTTAACTATAACTTGTATGACAGCCGAGCGTGCCATATTTTGAGAATACTTAAGTCACGGAAAAGCAAGCCATCACCCATCCGTTTCAATTCTATCGGTTTTACAGCAGCATTAGGCACAATCTGACAAATTTTAAAAAATGCAAATGCCGTGAACGGTAATGCGAAGAAATAAAATAGCTTTTAGGAGGACCATTGGTCATTCTTTTAACACGCGAAGTACATACACTTGCGGTATCTATTCCATCTATTAGATTGGGGAAAAAGTTGCTTCGCAGTTTATATAAAAATATCAAAACTATTTTTTAATAAAGTTTGTTTTTTGCCATCTTGTAGGGAGGGACATGATCCCATTGCAATAGAAAATTTGGGGCTTCTGATCAAAAAACCGCGACAAGAGATTTTGGCAGTACTCTCGTTATGTGAACCTGACACTGCCAAAAGATTTCTGGAAAGATCGAAACAGGTGGAAATCTGAAGTGCAAGGTCAGGACTATAGGGCGGATGCATTAACACCTCCCTTTCAAACTCTTCAAACTTTCAAACACAAAAAGATGTGCGAGGTTTAGCGTTATCATGATGAAAAACCACACCCCTTCTGTTGATTTATTCCGGCTGCTTTCTCTCAGCTTCTTGCTTTAATCTTATCAGTAGTTCACAGTAGAGTTCAGAATCGATGGTCCTGCCTAGCGGTAACAGCTCATAATGAATAATGCCCTTCCAAACCCACCATACACACAACACCACCTTGTTACGAGTTAACCCGGGTTACACCATTGTCTGAGAAGCCTGATCGGCCTTGGACCACGATCTTTTTCGCTCGTTCTTGTCGTACATGATCCACTTTTCATCACCAGTTACCAGGTTCATTACGTCGTAATAAAGAATTACAAATGAGTACACGGTTCCTTAGGTTTCTTTCATTAAGCTTCTGAGGCACCCAAATATCGAGCTTTTCTGTGTACCCAGCTTTTTTCAAATGCGCCAAAACTGTTTTGTGGTCCATTTCCAGTTCTTTAGCTATCTTTGTCAAAAATGGCATCCATTTAATCCGTAACAGGGCGACCAAAGCGACATGCATCTTTGACATCAAAATTTCCGGATTGAAAACGCTTAAAACAAATTTGTGCTAAGTAGAGTACTTAGTACACAGACACTGCACTAGGTCCATAAATATCACAAAATTTTTTTCGCTGCTTTCGTTGGACGTCAACATTTTTTGTAATATTTTAAAATGTATCGAGTTTTTTTTTCTCAATGGCTTCGCACGGCTTGTGCATTTAGTCAATGTCAAGTGTTAAAAATGTTTACAAATTCTATAGCACTCGTGGTCAAAGTATTATATCAAGTCAAAGTAAGTGGCAGTCAAGTCAGTCCCCCTTTCCCTGTGTTTCAGTAAATGTGTGGCTATTTACTGGAACCTCCCCGTGGACTTCTTGAGGGAACGTCGAAAGACACTATCCGCTATTTTGTTTCACTTGCCAACACTTGTGCATGTTACCGAACACTTAGTGGTTAATAATCCACCATTATTAGACGCTAACATCCGCCACAACACAATTTTTAACAAGAAAAACAAAACTGCTAGAGTGACGCTTTCCGATCCCGCCAAAAAGTCCATGTATCGAGTTTCTTCATTATATTCACTTATCCGGACAGTAAGAAAAACAAATGTAAATCGGTCATTTTTCTTATTTCAATTTGGAATTATCTTTTTTAAAACTTAAACTTTTTAATAATACTAAAACCAGCCAGATTGATATGGTATAGCCAAAATATTTTATTAAAAGTTCATACATACTATAATGCGAAAAGAATTTTTCCTCCACCTATAATGTAGGTATGTGGTTTAAACGTATGCTAAGATAGGTACCTTGATCCCTATGTCGAAATATAAAGGCTCTATTCATTTTGGTAAAAGGAAAATAAAATCTAGATCTATAGAGTAGGCGTAATCTGGAAGAAAGTACATTTTTTAATAAATGTTAAGACAGGCTGTGTAAGTAGCTTATTTAAGTTTATGTAGGTATGTCAAATCCTTGTTTGAGTGCGTTATTATTCTAAGCTTTGAGTTATTATCTTTACTTACTATATATATATATATATATATATATATATATATATATATATATATATATGAGTACTAAATTATATAGTTGTATGTAGGCAAATGATTCTAGGTTTCTAATCAAAATCATCAAAACCGGACCTTGGTGCTGAATCTGAAAGCACATTTAGGTACTTATTCTTCTTGTGCTTTTGCGCTCCTTGCCATGCAGGGTTGCATTACAGAAGAGGAGCGCAATGTATATAGCCCGAAGGGGCCACATAAGGCCTGACACATAAATATTTGGCCAGACACGACGTAAAAAAGTTTTACTTGTTCGGCTTTAGCCCTTTAGGTGGCCGGACAAGTTATCCCTAAACCTATCTGTTGTTTTATTTTATAGCGATGTTGGAGTCTAGACACGAAAATATATGTTAGTGCTGCCAGTGATTTATTGTTTTTGTTAACGTAACACCAAAGAAAGGGAAGGTAATTTTTTTTATTAGGTGCCACCGATAGGAGGATTGGTTTGTATCACGTGCACAATGCAACTGCCGCCTCAGCGACTGCCGCAAGCCGCCGCTGTTGCCGCTGCCGCTGCCGCAAACTCGCGAAAGTGAAAATTCGCTAGGCACTTTCTCCCCACCGCCCGCCGGCCGGCGACGCGCAGCATGCCGTGCCGGGCCGGTCGCATCGCCCCGCCCCTCGCTGCACCCCCGCGCCCCCGCGAGCCGCAAGGTCAGCCCCGCGTGCAGGCGGGTGGCGCGGCGGCGCGGCGCGACGCGCTGCGCTCTTGAAATTTCGCTTTCGTTCACTCGCGGTTATTAGTCGGCCGCGCGCGCTCCGGTAAGCATGTGTTTCGCGTGACGCGCTCCTCTACTTTACGCGGCACATTCGATTTCGTTGGCATGGCTCCGCGCCGGCAAGGCGCCACCGGCGAACGCGAGGCGGAGGACACTCGCGGGTGCTGCGTTCCCAGCGAGTGCCTCCGGCCCCGGGAGGCTGTTCGTATTGAAGACGCCGTTCGCGTACTATGCAACAACGACACGTGCGCCGCCGGCCGGTACATGCACCGAGAGTGCTTCGAACAATGGGAAGGCGGCGTGTTGGCTTACCTCAAGTCCTGTGGCCGTGCACGATCCTGGTCTGAGAGGCAACGCCACCAGAATCTGTGGACAAAGAAGGGATACGATTTGGCGTTCAAAGCGTGCGGCTGCCGTTGCGGCCGCGGCCATTTGAAGAAAGATCTTGATTGGGCACCTCCCGGCACCGCTGTCAGGGCTGAGGAAGAGAAGAAGAGGCGCAGGCGGACAAGGTCTGGTCGGACACCAGCCGCGACAGACGGACGCTCGAGAGCCTTCAGCCTGTCCAGTTCTGGGTCCTGCTCCCCGCCATCCGCACCATCAGAGCCCTCTGCCAGCCCGACACATGTCCCTATACATGCTCTTACGCCGGCCAAGAGAAACTCCAAGCCTGAAATCGTTTCCGACAGGATTAGGTAAGAAAAAAACCTTCATAATTATTAATACAATAAGATTATATCTTATAGGAATATTTTAGTGTATTTGATTATTGGGCCTGACTTTCAAAATACACCTTACTATAGTTTTAATGATAATAAGAGATGTACTAAATCATTTCCGATATCTACTCACTAGTTTTATAGAAATGCAATAAAAACAATACCAACACCAAACTACTTCTAAATTTTTTATTTATATAACTGTTTTTTATGATGGTACACTTTATCCTATTCCTTAAATATATCAAACTATTTTTGTCAATCATTATAAAATTAAATTGTACCTATTTTGATGTTGTTATTTATATTTCAGTTTGATATTTTTAAATTACAAAATGTACTTACATATTATTAGATATTAAAATTATCCTACAACAATAGGGGAAAAAACAAAACCCAAAACAGCTATCTGTTCTGCATTGTATGATATTTCTTGTCATTGCTGTTTTCAAGCGCAATGTTATAAAATACAGGTGTTCATCATTTTTCTACACGAATTTAATGTAAACCACAAAATCTTACCAATACCAACTTCGCATAGTGTGTTAAGAAAAATACATTCTACGTAGGATACGTATCTACCACTTAAAAAATTGCAAATATTTTAATCTCTACCAAACCATCCCATAAAAAAATAGGAATGCTGTTAAAAGGTCTCATAATGGTCGTATTAAAATCCAAGTCTTGTTTTATATCGTTTTGAATTTCGAATAGCCGCCTTTAATTGGCGGGAACTGCTTGGTTTAGCGGGGCCGGACGGGTTTCGTAAACCGGCTGACCCTACAGTCCTACATGGTAATTTATTTATTTTGATAAGATGCATGTTGCACCCAAAGTCATACGAGTACCTATATTTGTTCTTAATGACTTGATAGAAAACAATCTCTTAATGATACCACCCCTTTAAATTGTTGGTTGTGATTGTGATTTTGACAGCACTTAAATAGGGCGAGTTGCCAGCTTGTTTTTAAATGAACTGAATCCTTTGTATTAATTTCTTGCTCTTACACATCTTTCTTAAATAATTTGTTATAGTAAAGTTAACTAACTTTGTTAAAGAATTCAAATGAAATATCTTTTCAGTGATCAAAAACAAATAAAAGTATGTACCTACCTAGTCTGTTTTAATCCATATAAAAGACCATTTCTCTCTGTTAGTAATTTTTATCCAAACCCGTTCAGCCATTTGTTTGAGCGATATTGAGGAACTAGCATATTTTATAATATGAATGTGTAAAAACTATGATTTCATGTTCGTTTTGCGCTTAAACAAACGGTTAAAAGTTTTTATCGCCGTAACTTTATCAAAATATGCTACAAACTTTACACTAAGTACATATTATAACTGTAAAAAATTCGGCGATAATCCTGTACGAAATGGAATAAACCCATAGGTATTAAAAATACAATAACTTGGTACTTAGAACTTTATCCAAACCACAGTATTGATATCAATCAATACTGTGTCCAAACGTTTTACGGTCTATTCCTATTAGATGAGTGTTTTTTTATTAAATAAAACATCCAGGGTATCATTCTAAACTAAGCTAACGTAATAAATAATGGGTACAGTATCTCATATCAATAATAGTTCAACACAACAGTATATACTTGGGTTATGAGATGCTAGGGTAAGGGATAGTATACAAATATATATATTTCTTTATCCAGAAATATATATAAACATCAATGACTAAGTTAAAAATGCTCGTATTCATCATACTAACATTTGCCCAGGGACCTCTGAGTAGGCGACGCCATGAAACCCGGCGTAGACCACTCTGCCACGGAGGTCGTCAAAACCAATCAACCTTTTCGAAAAACAAACTTTGTCTAAAATTAAAAGCACTAAAACGTCTTTCACACACTATTACCTATCACTTTAACCTAGCAGAATCTCTACCCAGTGGGTTCACATCACACCATAGGTTAAATGGAATTCATAATATTTACATGAAGAACCGTCAACGGCTTATTCAAACTCTGCTGCAGCTCACTTCGCTTCATTACGCGCGAGTTTTGTTTACGTTACTAATTAATAGGTAGTCCATACATGTTGTAATATTTATAATACCTTGGAGTGAGTCATATTAGTAGTAAGACAAACGGATAATAAAACAATACCTAGCTATGTATAAGTAATTATTATTTATTAACAGGTGTGTGTGTGGTAAATGTTGTTGGTTTTGGCATTAATTTCTTTATGCTGTTTGTTCAGAACAAAACCTCTGCCTTTTCGAATTGACATGAATGTAACTGCAATATAAAAGATATACTGCAACCTAATCTTATTTCTTAAAGAGTTAAGCTATTTTCAATCAATTTCAATTAGGTACTGATTGATATAATAAAAACATTTACGCTGACACAGAAGCTTATAATTTCTAAGCTCGCTCTAATTCAATTTTAAAATAGCATATTTGGATTCTTAACTCACGAGTTTTTATAAAGAAAAAATAAATGTTTAAATATATTCGAAATTTGAAATAAGGCACCACGGGATTATAGGTATCATGCAATAAAAAAAACTATCAAGTGCGAATCACACAACTGGTCAAAGAACGCTAAAAAAGGACGTTTTGTTTTTTGTGACCCACTAATTGTTTTTTTGATATTAGCTTCAAAATAATACAACACATTCTTGCAAAAATTTCAACTGTCTGCCTATGAACTGACGGAGAGTGGGCTGTGGAGGCTTAGATAGACCTTTTAGTTACGGAATCCTAAAAAAAAATCACTTCCTAATGCACGATTATTTCGAAACGAGCCCATAGACAACAGCCTTGAAAATATTTTTTTTTCACAGTAAACCGTAGATAAATGACCGTGTTTTAAATACGAATTATTATGTATTATTATTAGCACTTCATACAGTCACCCGAACTAGGTACCTACCTAGTTAACATTAAAGAAATCGTTTTTAATTCGTGACCAAGAAGCACTTAATTAATGCTCACCTTATTGCACTAAAAATGCAATTTTCTGAAAGTCGAATCTTAACTGTATTTTTGTAAATGCTAAGCAGTTAAAAAATACCGCGAAAAAAGGCCAAAGGGTATTTGTTATTACATAAGTCCTTTTAGGGCGAGGTAGGTGCGATATTTTGAGCTGATACTTTCCAGTCCTTTGTTTCCTGTTCTGGGGCCGATCGCCTAACGGCAATGCTATGGCTATCGCTTCGCTATTTTATGGCGCCGAAGGTTTTCAAATGCTTCGCGTTATTTTTTTTCTTTTGCATTGGTAATAAAAATATTAAAGAAAATAAGCGTGAGTTATTTGAAAACCTTAGGCGGTCAGAAATAACACAATAAAATCATAAGCGATAGCATAGCCATAGCAATCCTGTTAGCCTATAGGCTCCCCCCTGTTTCTGTTACGTCCCGCTATTGTCCAGACAGTTAACAAAAAAACCAGACGAAGCACCTGGCTGGCACTTGTACAATCCATTTCCGCGGAAAGCTACGCGTCCTGTTACAATTCGCGTCCGAAAACAACGGACACCGCAGTTTTTGCGTTAACGTAATTATTCGTGTGCATAGCGTATAGGGTTGCCAACCCTACTATATAATATAGTATCTTACTATATTCTTACTATATTAGGGGATCACATACTATATTTCTAAAAAAAAATATGTGCAGTAGGCGAAACTACTATATTTTGGTTATATTTTTAGATTTTTAAGCATATACTATATTTTGCTCAAAGCAGACTTTTGCCAGTAATAACATTAAATTCCATAAATAAAATAATGTTTTAACCTCAAGCTATATTTTTGGAGATAACAGCTTCGAAAATACTATAGGTATTTGATAGAAAAAAAGTTGGTAACCATATAACATACGAACTCCGAGACTCGCGAATGCGTTTGATATTTTTAGGAAACGTTTTATTAAAAAGTGTTTTTGCGTAAATAAATCCACGTACTCGCGACACGTCAAAGAAAAACCTAGTAGTAATTTTATTTTTTTAAATGATTTACGAACTTTAAATAACGAATTTGTGTACTACCTACGTCGGAAAACCTAATAAAACAGACCGTAAATCAGCGGTAACAGACTAATGTAATAAAGTTACTAAGTAAAGTCGCGTAAACATCGTTAACAACCTTCATGGAGAAATTTTGTTTGAAAACAAGAGGTCGATTTTGATTCTAATATCGGTTTGTTAATATTGGAATTGAAGGGAATACTACTTTGAAATAAAACAAAATACTGGATGGTTGCACTTCAGCAACCACATATTTATTTGCTGTGGTTCTTTGTGGATAAGAAAAATGTACAAAATTCATCACTTATCAACACTAAACTTTCATAAAATAATAAATGTGACAGAAGGTATTCAATTCCAAAGATTTAAAGAAAATTTTATTAGAAAATATTCTAATCAGATTGGAAATGTAGCAGTTAAGACGAGTACTTTATATACCGGAATTCGATTCATCCATAATTTGCTAATTTCATTAGTATGAGAATCGACTAAGACATTTATTTACCTTTATATGTATTTTACATAATTTGAAAATGTTTCGAAGTAAGACAAAAACGAATAAAGGCGCAGCGTATCGCTCAAAGTATGCAACATGCATCAATTAAAAAAAAAACAAGTATCAAGTGTGCAAACTCTCAAATTGGTGCAGCCCCAAAAATGCAATTTCGGTTCCAAACATTAACCGCGCTCCGTTGCGCAGCTGGTTTCCGTTTCTACTCCGACTAAACGATTTTTTTATTTTTTTTCCAAAGTTAGTACGATAATGTAGTAAAATTGGTGCAATCGCGGTTTTATTATGCACTAATAACCGTAATAATCTTGAGAAAAATAAATATGCCTGGTATTTTTACGAGAGAAAGGGAGATAAGTAAAGTTTATTGTAATTGTGAGTAAGTATTAAAGTTGCAGCAGTCACAGTTATTTTAATGTATGTGCATATTAATCAATTGTAAATTAAATATACTCATATAATAAAAGGAATGAAAAACAGA